TTTATTTCAATTCAACCATAATTTGATACTTTGGAAACGTTAACAAATACAAAAGAAAAATAATAGTCTGTCAGTCAGTCCGTCAGTGAAGCTAGGTGAAGCTAGGTGCTCATTCCAAAAAGTAGATTCGAATGGAGAAGAACGAGCAACAAACTCCATTCGTTACTCTTTTTTTAAAAAGATGTTCTACAATGTCTCTGATATATATTTCAATACTGTACGCATATGTAACAACAACGCCAAGACACGCTTGACGCATTATACTATAATATTGTCACTACATAGTATAAAACAAAGTCGCTTTCTCTGTCCCTATGTCCCTATATATGCTTAAATCTTTGAAACTACGCAACGGATTTTGATGCGGTTTTTTTTAATAGATAGAATGATTCAAGAGGAAGGTTTATATGTATAATACATGCATATTGTACCCGTGCGAAGCCGGGGCGGATCGCTAGTATTTACTATAGTAAAATGCATCACCAGTTCGATAGCCTGGGTCGGACTATCAGTAGCATGTGTCATTTATTTATTTATTTATTTATTACAGTTACAACGGTTGAAAACAAAAACCAATTGAAGTAACTGGACACATTAATAAAATAAACGATGAAATAATAAAACTAGAACAAAACATACCTACACAACGAACCAGAAGAGTAAAACTTATTTAAAAAATGGTAGCATTCATAAGTTCCTCTCGCAGTACTTCAGGCATTCCGATAAAATTTCCTTCCATCCGTCCGCAAACAGATCACTAGTTGGAATGGAATCCAAGAGACCATTGAGCGCGGCCAGAGTGCGAGGAATCGGTGCTTTAGCACGTGCTGCGGTACGACATGACGGCACGGCAAACAAACAATGTTTGCCGATACATAAATTTAAACAATCTCTTCAGATGCTATTGACTATTGACTTGAAAAATGTTACTACAGCGTAGATGAATTTATAAATGATACTTTGCATTGATTGTGAGTTCAATTTATTTGTATTATTTCTTTATAATTATTACTTTTTTTGTAAGTATAATTTAATTTAGCCTGAATGTGGACATATTGTTTATTATCTTATTATCTATAATATCTATAATAATGACATCTTGTTTATTAATTTTGACATATTTTGTTCATCAATTGACATAATTTAAACTTGTGATTTTTAAATTATGATTTTTATTGTTATTCATTTACATTATAATTTTTTTTTCATTCAAACTTTGACATTTGATTTTGTATTTGTATTTATTGATTGTAGATTCGTATTATCTGCCTAAAGTGATTGATTTAGTACGCCATCAATGGCAAAACATGTAGACTCTGTACTAACCAAAAAAACACCTTCATTGTAATTACTCATGTTTTACTAAATAAATATATCAAAAAGAAAAAATCTGTGCTTTTTACCCCGGCAGTAATAGTCTGGAACGTAAAAACGTGATAGTGACTCCAGTATGTCCGGAGCGTCAATAGCGCCACGGAGGGTTTTACAGGCTACTACAAGTTGGTTTCTTGCTCTCCTTACCACTAGTGAGTTATATCCAAGACTACCCAATAAAAAAATTGTCGGATAGAGGTAGGGATTTTTTTTTTAAGGGGGGAAAATCATCGAATGACTGCCCCCGCCTGGGTGAGGCGGGAGGGAGTGTCAGACTCTTACTGACTAAAAACCACCCCGTTCCTTCTCCTGCACG